CCATCCACTGAAAGTTTTTATGCAGAAGAGGAAGAGGATGAAAGTGATTTTTAGGAAGATTCAGCTAGTAGCAATAAGATGCTCGCTTATCAGTAGAATGAGAAGGGGACTAGGAGAACTGATAGAAATAAGGAAATTAAAGAAAGCAGGCATATTTGGGAAGAAAGAGATGAGTGATACTTTGTAGATTATTTTTATAGATAATTTTCCATTTGTACTAAATATTTTCTAGGAACAATCTTTCTTATGTCAATTTCTTTGATTTTATGATTATATCTATGAATAAAAAGAAAACAAAAATAGCAAAGAATTCAATTGATCCCCTATGAATAGTAATTGTAGGTGAAATTCACATTCCATAATTTAAAATCTATTTTGAAGAATGAATGAATCTTGGTACTTAAAAATCATAATCCAGGGACAAATTTTGCTGTAACTTTTCTGAAAAGAAATGGCTCGGGGCTTATGGGTATGAGGTTTCAGTGGTTTCCTTTCCCAAAATATTCATGTGTTTCTCCTTAGGTTCTTGGAGAAATTACACCTAACATGTCTCAGTGATATTAAAAAGAAGACTGTAAAAAGTAAACTAGTAATTGTGTTTCCAAATCAATGATGTTATTAGAATTGGAGCTTCGTGGTAGTATAGCTGTGGAATGTTGGAAATGAATTACTTAACATAAAATTTAACTTTAACATTTGTGTAATTCATACTTACCAAGATTGTACGTCACTTCCATTTCTCATTTTAGTGATTAGAGTAGGAGTCACGTAGAGAGATTTAAGGGATCGAGGACTCCTGACCACAATAGTCTCTTTCATACTACTGGAAATTCTGTTACTAGAGATTAATTTCTTTGGGTTTTAGAGGTTTGGGAACTGAAGTCTTCAAGAGTCCACCATTAAAAGAAATGTATATCAATGTTCTCTTAGAGAGAATTAGTTGACAGTTCAGAACTCTGAAGGTGTGGAACAAACATTTTTGGAAATGTGGGAATGGGAGTTATTTATTACTGTTTCAAGGATTGTTTTGTAAAAGATTTTTTCCTCCCTTATAATGATGGCAGGTATATTATAGATAATGGCATGTTTTTCTGGGATTTTTCAAGGTATTTTTAATCAAATCTTCTGTCCTAGTCTCAGGCCTATCTCCTAGTTTTTCTTTGGAAAATGTGGTAACTATACTTTAAAAAATTGAAGCATCTTATCAAAGAAATCTGAAATTTTAAAAAAATTGGTAATTTATCATTTATTACACTGAAAAATGGGAAATATTATACTTTCAAAAACTAATCATTCCTTAATATTTCCATGCTATTCTAGCAATCTAGAATGAGAAATTAAAAGTCTTCCTGTGGTTATACAATTTGCTCAGAAAAATGAAAATCACAGATACTATTTAAAGCAGAGATTTATTGAAACACTAAACTAACCTTCTATTCTACAGATTGGTTAATGATTAGTAATCTAACACATTAAAAAGAACAAAATACTTAAACACATAGCAGTGATAGTGTATAGCCTTTTCCTCAGTACTTTGGTAAGTATGGATTCTTTTTTAGTTGACTAGAAATAACATTTCAACCCAGACTTCTTTGGAAAATTTCAGTAAAGATTGTGGCAAAAAAAAGAAAAAAAATTACAAAGGGCTTCCAATGAACCATTTTTATCCTTAGATGAGTCCTCTCAATAGATTTCTTTTGTAATCTCTGTATTTGACTGAGCTACATTTGCATGTGCATGTGTTTAGCAGCCTCTGGCTCCTTCGCCTTCACTCTTCTTCCTCTTTAATTTGCGGTGCTTAATTTTCCTAGAAGAAGGATGGTGAGACACCTGTTTCAGGTACTTGGTCATCATTGACGTTGTGGCCACCAGTCTGCAGAGTATTTGATCAATGTCATAGATGGATGGGCTTTCTAGATCATTACTAAACTTATCTAAGGAGACTTGTTTTTTCAGCTAAAAGGAGAAAAACAAATGATATAGATTTTATTTTACTATAGTTCAAATTAAATTTTTATTCCAAATATATAAACTTAAACTCTATTAAAACAGCACACATCAGTTATTTATACAAAAGAAGGATTACTATAGAAGAAAGGTATAAGTGCAGAAGAAATGTTCTTCTGTATATGCTCCATATAATATTAGAGTGATCATTATCACAATCAGCAAATAATTAGTGCATTCTATGGTTAGAGCACCCTGCTGGGAGAAATATGAATATTAGCAAAATGTTTTCCTGTACTAAATAATCTCAAGGTATAATACCATAAAAGCACAGTAATTTTAAAAATAAGAAAACATTTATAAATACTTAGTTGTTATGAAGGTCATTGAGGTTTTTTCTTTGTTTGGTCAATGAGCTTTTAAGACTGCCTCAAACTATGGTGTCTCTATTGGCAAAGTGGGAAATTAGTTTAAAAGTTCCATTTCCCAGAAAGTTATCCTAACATTAGAGATTAGTTTACAGTCCATTTAGAAAATACATGCCAACTTTTGTACTTAGCTTTCTTAGATAGATCTGGAAGGGTTCTAAGAGATCTCTTGTTCGAGATCCTTCATTTTAGGGATGAGGCAGCTGAGAAAGATCAAATGACTTAACTAAGGGCACAGACAGATAACCTCATTTCCTATACATTTTACTGATGGTAGCACACTACTTTTTAAAAGTGTTTTGTAACTTGAAATAGAGGCGTTGGACTAGATGATTTTTAAAAAAATATCATAAGATCTTACAGGTTGGACCAGATAATTATATAAAGACCTTCTAATTCAATACACATTCATTGAACACCTTAGTATGTGCAAGACACTGTGCTAGATGCTGGGAATGGATGGGGAGAGGGGAAGGTTACAAAGGGGAATAAAATATGGTACCTTCCCTTAAAGAGACTGATTATCTTATGTTCTAAACTCTTTTAGATTTTTTAACTTATTATTTGCATCACTAATTCACCTTTTTTTGGTGTTTCTTCCATTTCATCCACAGGTAATGCGCAGATAAAACAGATAGGATTAAAGAGAGAGCTTGTGCTAAAATATAAATGAGATGTAAAAACCCCTGAAATATATCCATGTTAGCAAAGTTGCAGCATAGTTTGTCCAGAGGATAAGGTAGACAGTGAGATGGAGAAACCTTAACTTTCAGATAGTGTACTTCTTCTGGAAAAATCTCCCATCCAACCTTTGTCCAGGTAGTTCCATCACAAATGCAGAAGCTCTCCCTGAAGAAGCAGGTAAACAACAGAGAAAAAATCAGAAATAGTCCTTGATTAGACATCTTTCTGAATTGGGAAAAAATATCTCTAGCTAAAAAATTGGTCAGAGACAGAGAAGAAAGTGCCCTGAGTTGTTAGTTGATATGGTGCTTCAGTCAAGGCATTTCAGATAATCTTGCCAGTCAGCAAAACACAGCCAACAAAATACACACTAATGACTATTGTAACATCATCAGTCATAGTGATTCAGGAATAAGTTCAGTGACATCATAAAGAACCACATAAAGGTGTCACTAAAAGGTGTCACTTAACCAATCACCTTGGGTTTCTTAGAGATACTTTTTGTTGCTTTTTGCCACAGTGGTATGAGCTTCTTCAATTTTCTTAAAAATGAAGACTTTACTAATGTTTTGCTAGCTAATAAATTCAAACTGTAGTCATATTAATAGAATTGTGTGGAAACAATTTACTCGCTACCTCACCAACCCTTCTGAAATATGGCAGTTTTCCATCTACTTAATAGATAGCTATACCATTTCACACAACCTAGCATTGACTGCTTTTTTCTTGTTTTGGAATGTCCTTCCCCTCAAATAGTTCAGCAAATATTGAGTGCTTATCCCTTTTAACATATGTTCTTTTGGTGGCAATGTGGTTCTATCAGACAGTGGGTAAGAGGGGAGGAAGGTGGCACGGTATATGAAAAAGATAAGATGGTGAGGTGTCATGCTGTATGATAAAAAGGTAGAACATGGGCCCTGCCTTTAAGGAGCTTACAATCTAGAGGTAAAAGCAAAAACCAAGATAATAAAATTACAAGATAGAGTAAACAGTTGAGAGAGCAATGAGTTCTACCTGGGGGAATTAGGACGTTTCACAGAAGAAGTATATTTGATTGGGCCTTGAAGAGTGAGTAGAATTTTGGTAGGTGGCAATGTGGAGAGGACATCTAAGATTGAGGAGACATAATAAGCAAAGAAATTATGTGTAAACATTCACATGACTGATATATATTGATTGCCTACTATGTTCTAAATACTGTTCCAGGAGCTGAGAATACATTTACAACTCGGCACAAAACAGAATACCTTCATGGAGCTTACTTTCTAGTAGGGGGACACAGAAAATGATTGTATCTATCTAAATATATGCATCTATATCTGTGGAGTGATATGGAGAAAAATAGAGTGGTAAGGGGTTTAGGATGTTGCCAGCAAGTGAATGAGTGTGCGCGTTACTTTATAGAGGGAAATTAGGAGAGGGCTCTCTGATAAGGTGATGCTTGAGCAGAGACCTGGAGGTACTGACGGAGGGAGCCACGTCGCTATCTGGGGGCAGAGGGAAGAGGAGGTGAAGAACAGATAGACTCTTGAATGAATGTTGGAGGGTGTGAAGCTGGAAACATAGTTTGTAGCTAGACAGATCTTGGAGGGCCCTGTATTTTATTCAGTAGGAAATAGGAAGTCATTTATAGATTTTTCAGCAGTGACATAAATTTATTCAGTGCTTCACTGTGTTCCAGGCACTGTGCCAAGATATTTGCATGTATTATAGTATACTTTGCATTATACCATATGTGTTATTCTATATATTATATACTATATACTACATTATATTACATTATGCATTAAACTGTATACTATATACCATAATCCTCACAACACTTTTTTTTTTTTTTT